CTTTGAGGTGCCTGTTGGACATTCAACTGGATTTCAGGCAAGCGTATGAAGGTTCTGGTAAACTTGTGGAAAAGATCCCAGCTAGAGACGCAGAGTTGGCTGTCATCAGAATAACACGTTGTTCTTGCTGCTTGATTGTTTAAAGCTTTAGTAAGGGACTAGAGACTGTTGACAAATGCTTTATGTTTGACTTGTTTTTAAAATTTAAATAGATGGTCATGACTTACTGTAGTGACTCCCCTTTCCCCTCCAAAAAATATGTATATCCATGGATAGATATAGATAGAAAGATAGAGATATGGATATGGATATGGATATATACACCTGAACTAGGGAAAGGAATTTCAAAGATGAAGAAGACACAGCCCCTGACCCCAGAGCACTCATCATCTCATGTAGAGGTGTGGAGAGAAGCAGCCAGTTTACGCCCTACCCTCTTTTCCCTGATTATTAATGCGTCGTGTTGTATTTTGTTCAAGTCTCGGAGAGTGTGTCCCATGGCAGGTCTAGGAGTTCAGATTAAGTCCATCCAGAGTGACCTGGACCTCTCTGTCTAAAGACATGATTAAACATCCTGAAAGACTGATTTGAGCCTGAGCATATGGATGAAAATGTGAATTCAGATAACTCCAGGTCATCTGGTATGAACAGGAGTAGACTGGGGTGGGGATGGCTGGGGGTAGGACCTGGAATGCAGGGTGTCAGTGGGCTTCAGCGCGCAGTTTGCTGTGGCTGTGCTTCATTTGCCCCATGTCACGCTTTCTTTCCTGTGGATCCTAAGCTATCTTCAAAAACTGGGATCTGATTAGTTTGCATTTGATTTCTTCGCTGCCTAATGAACTGCCTCTGTAGTTCTGGCTGTGATGTCATTAGCATCTCATTGCCTTGGGCACCAACTCAGGAGAGAGATTCTTAAGCAGTCCCAGAATCCTATAGGAATTGTACCAATTTACTTCATGACAATGAATTCACCTTTATGACCCATCAGTTGCCGCCAGCAGAGTAGAGCCTGCATGAGGATGGGACAGTCACTTTTATCACTCTCAGATGCTCCTGAGTCTAGGTGGGTCAATATGTACATGCCTAAGGCCATGGGCACATCCACAGTGAGATTTTGAACATTGCGGTTGCCAATATTCTCATACTACAATATTCTATTGGGGAAATTCATCCACTGAGTGCTGTAGGATACAGATTTAGCCTAAAGCAAATGGCATTTATTTATAGCAAACTGTATTTGCAAAATGCTTTGCAGTTTTATGTTGTTAACTACATTCCAGGTTGGCTGTTCTTCTTCTTGCAAGAAAGCTAAGTGTCATGGCTGCACTCCAGAGCCTCCCCTGAGAGCAATGGGGTAAATTCTGCAAACAGGAGTGAGAGGGGGGCCACACCTGGGTAGTCTTAATCAGAACGTACTTTTGTCCATTATAATCTTTTAAGACCTTAATTGTAGCTTATTTCTTATGTCCAGAGACTGTGTACTTGTTGAAATAGAATATTCATTTTATTAAGACAATATAGTGTCTCACATTACTAGAGCATTTCTACCCAGGATCCAGAGGACAGAGGAGGGAAGAAGTATTTTGGAGGGGGCAATGGAAGGGGGCATCACTGAACCGGAAGGAAGTGAGGTGGGGTCTCCTCCCTGGGACACTCCACACATAGACCTCTCTACCACCCACTTCAACACTGAGAGGGAGTTAAAATCAAGTGTCAAAGATCAGACTCCTGAAGCTTTTAGGATTTGAACCACTCTCACTTGCCACAGACATGATGGTTATAGGTGCTCTCTTTGGGCAAAGGGAGATTTATCTGGGCTTTCACTGCTGGACTCCATCGTTTTAAGGAGTATTCCCCCATTGTATCTTTAACTGCACATGGAAAATGCGTTTCCTCTTTGAAAAATCTCCTCCTCACACACATCTCTATTCTTTGCTGGAGCCTGAATAGATGGCTTGGGGGAGTTTGCTGCTCATTACTTCTGTGTAAATCCAGCTCCTCTCTAGACAGCTCCATCCTGCATGATGAGGAGACCAGAGGGGCAGTTAGTCTTGGCCTCTAGCAGGGCCCGCTTTATATGGACCTGAATATTTTCAGGAGAAGGAAAATACGATTCTGAATTCAAATAAGAGTTTGGAGACCTCCCACCGACTTCTTCTGTGACCTTCTTCACATGCCTCTCTTCTCCCTAGCCTTGCACCTCTCCAGGGCTGAAGGATATTGAGATGGTTTAGCTGCATCTTGATTTTAATTGGGATAGCCAGAAGACAGCAGCAAGGGGAGCAGCCCCTCAGATGTTTACAGCAATTACAAGCTTTAATGATGGAGTGCTGGAGGGCAGGGAGGCTTCACTCGTGTCCAGGCTGTGTTTGGGGTTGCAGTGCCCTCTAGTGGCCTCATTTGTCTGTCAGAACGGTACCTCCTATGTAATGAATGGGCAGGGGGTAGGTATGTAGAGAGACATGTAGATAGGGAGTGGAGGGGAGTTCCTGGATACTTCGGGATTAGAGGTGAAAGAAAAGGAATTTGGTGACATATTATTTCTCCTGAGGTAACTTTTACTCCCTGTGAAGGATATTGAGGGGCATTTTTATTTTCCCCTGTGAGTTTTATTTGCCCTTCATTATCTTGTGTCTCTCACAATTACTTTACGTCTCTCTCTATTTTTCTCCTTAGGAAAATTTTATGGAATTGTTTTACTTACCAAATTTTTTTTTTACTATTCTATTAAAAAAAAAAAACTGTGCCACCACAAATTTTTTCAAGTCACCAGGTGTTACTTTTCCATAAATTTATTTTTTCTGGTGCTTAAGTGGCCACACAGGATTTATCACACCTTTTCTTTTCTCACTTGATTTCTCAAAATCAAGTCATTTTAGACTTGATATCACCATCTAGTGGTCATTTCATGGAAATGCTTTGCCCAGCCTCTGTTGAAAACATTCTCAACAAGGAGGGCTGTGGGCTGATAAGGAAATGCATCTGATTGTAAGGGGCATGAGGGTCCGCTAAGAGACCCTCAAGCTCTCTGGCAAGGCTTGCACGGCAATGTTTTAAAAATCTCATCTTGAAAACAAGCGCCATATTTTTACTGTTTTTTTTTTTTTTTTTTTTTTGGAATTTTATTTACTTTCCCAGTGAATGAAGGCCTGTTTTTCTAGAAATCACATCAAGGATGGAAAGACCTCACCCCACCCCCACTTATCCCTGCCCAGTCCATACAGCCGGTTGAAGAAGTTTGGAGGCCTGGCCAGGGGCTGGGGGAGGAGAGTCCTGCCAGATCATGGCCACTTCACAAACACTCCCAGCCGTGAGTTGCATAAGTCTGACTGTCAATCAAGATTTACGTGGCTTGGAGCAACTTGGGGGCTAGCTGGTGGGGGCTCCTGGGCCTCCTGTTTGATATCATCAGTCTTGGTTTTGGTGTGGGCAGTTATGCAGTTCTCTTATAACCTAGGAAGGGCTTGAGCTCAACTCTGGGTTCGTTATTAAACAAAACGCAAATGAGAAATGAAGTATACCCCATATTTATAGTCACTGAGTGAATCCTTTGCCTTAGTGCCCGAGAGGAGTCCCCATGTCACTGGAGCTTCTGGGTAAAAGTGCCTCATCCACGTAATGATGATGCTTATCTGGGAAACAACAGGGCTGAAATGCCTCCTGAGGATGCAAATGGGCTCATAGTATATAGCAAACGAGGGAGAAGCGCAGAGAGCTCCCTGGACCCCATAAGAGAGAACTCTGTTGTAAAGTTGAGGAGTCATATCTCACAAGCACCTTCTAGAACACTGTGCAAATCCTTCCAACCAGTTCCCCCAAAGATCTGGCCCATCAAGTATGGCGTTCTTGATGGGTCAGAGAGGACCAGAGTGAATATTCTGTATCTGCCCGTAGTTTCCAAAAGCTCAGGGTTCTCCCTGGAATTGTTTAATATTCCACATGACAGCTGTGCCACAGAGGGTCAGGGATCGCTTAAGGAGCCCAGGGCTTTTTGTCAGCAGGCTCTACTTCCATCTTCCTTTAGAATTAACAAGTTAAATGGAAGATCATGAAGGCTTGGAGGAGAACTATCAAGCAGGGCCTTCTTCCATAGGGAACAAACTATTATTTTCTCGTAGGCATTTCCCATGTTTGTCACCAAAAATAAACCAAGAACCTCCCTAACTCTCTTTTACTTCTCAAGCAAGGGTGACACAAACCTGTCTCTCAGGCTTTGGAGTGCAAATCTTTTTGAAAAAGCCAGAATTCCCTCTCCATCTTCAATACATTGACTAATGATGAAGCAGAGAAGTCCTGTTCTTCTCCTATGACTTAAAGGTTTGGGAATCAGACAAAATTGGATTCAGATCCCAGCTCTCACAATATCCTAGCTGTGTGATCTTGAGGCTGTTGGCCTCACTTTCCTCATGTATAAAATGGGTGTAATGATAGAATTCCATGCAGAGAGTTGTTGTCAGGGTTAAAGAGGTCTTGGACAGATGTCGCTTTCATAGCACAGGCTCAATAAATCTTACCAATAGTTATGATTAAAACTATGATGATGATGAATCGACATGCGCTAGCCACTGTATGTGCTCTAAAAACATTTTGCCATTTATTCATCACACGATACTAGAGGTAGGTACTATTAATATCTCCATTTTATGGATGAGGAAACGAGTCACAGAGCAATCACTGCTGTTATTGTCTGTATCGTTGATGGCAGTCATAGATCCTGCATAGATACTGCAGAAACTTCCCTCTGAGAGATCAGTGGAGCTGATGAGTCCCAGAAAGGAAACAGCCTGGCCTCACATTGGAAAGGGCCATTCCCAACTCTGTGGGTCACTGGGAGGATGGGCTCCCCAGATTGAGTGGGATGACAGAATCACACTCTTACCCCCTCAGTGGTGTTTTCTGACCCCTCAGGGATTTGACTCCAGCACTCAAGAGCCACGAGGTCATGCAAGTCCTTGCTTTTTCGCCTCCCTCACTGTTCCTTTTCATTTTGTGTCTGGCAGGCAACTCCCCATCTGATGAGTCGGAGGAGCGGGAAAGAGACCCCAAGGTGCTGACGTTCCCGGAATACATTGCCAGCCTGTCGGAGTCTGGCACCAAGCGCATGGCGGCTGGAGTCCGCATGGAGTGCCAGAGCAAGGGACGATGCCCCTCGTCCTGCCCTCTGTGTCATGTGACATCCAGCCCTGACACCCCTGCCGAGCCAGTTCTGCTGGAGGTGACCAGAGCAGCCCCCATCTACGAACTGGTGACTAACAACCAGACCCAGAGGGTGAGAGGCCGGGGACTCTTGGCTCACAGAGGTCAACAACTACAGAGGGCTCTCCAAATGGCCTGAGGAGGTGAAGGGCACAGTTGAGCTCCATGCTAGAATACGGATAGTGAGACTTTTTGTTTAGCTAATCCAGACACTTAATTTGCTTAGATTTGCATGTTTGCATATTAAATCAAGTCAATGCATCTACAACACCCATGGTAATGACTCGGGAGTCACAACTCAGCATTTGTGTAGGTCTTCTGCTGGAAGGCAGAAGGTAGATAGGGAGGCATAGTGTTCGCAGTCACCAAAGTCGTTGTTCAGAAAGCCTCGGGGGACAGTCGTGGGAGGAGGCTCAGCTCTGCCTCCCCTTGTTGGCATGGGAAGTGGACCAGCTCCCCTAACTGGTCCAAGCCTGGGACCAGCTACAGCTAGACTGGAATGAGCACACGAGGCACAGATCCTAAAGGGAAGGATCTGGCTGCCTTAGCCTGGAGGGGGTTGGTTTCCACTCTGACTCTAAGAACAAAACGCCAGTCCGTGCAGATCTTTCTGCCGTATATTATGTGGCTAAGTCATGACATTCCCAACCACCCCTCCTTTCCCCCTGCTGCTCCCTTACCAAAGGTGCTGGGAGGAAATGAATGGACCCGAAAGGGTAAGCTGGAGAAATGTGACAGAGGCACGGACTTAGTGCATTTCCTAGCTCTCCAATCTCCTCAAGGACATAAAGAACAGAGTGGGTCAAAACACACACAACAACAACGACAACAATGACAAAAATAAAAAGATGAAAGCTCAGGGTGTGGAACTTCTGAGACTATAAGCAAAGGTGACCATGGGGGACAAGACATAGTCACAGCGGTGAGCTGCTTACCTGCCTGAGAGGTGTGCCCATCCAGGTGGGGTGATAATTGCTTTCTCTTTCCTCCTTTAAGGGACACCTGGTGTGTCACAGTTTGTTTCATAAGTGATGCTCAAACCAACAGGAGGGATTTTGCATGTGTGTGTGTTTCTCTCGCCTATCTGCCTCTGCCACAGATATTTCACTGAGTGTTTGAAAATAAGGTTCTTCACAGGACCAAAAAGATAAATTGTTCCTTGGGCCTACAAATTCCTCTTGAATCTGATAGAAGTGATTATAAGAAGAGGAGTGGGATAGAAGAGACTAATGGAGGGGGCTTGAAAGGATGAAGAACAGGAGGAGCTTGTGTCACCATGGAGACCCAGAGCTGCAGTGGCTTTAATCCAATGCCCAGCCCTCCCCTTACCTGCCCCACTTTCTCTTCTGTGAGCCCCCAAGGCTGCTGCAGCTGGCATCCCAAGAGCTCCTGTGCACCTGCCTGGGAACAGCAGAGTCAGGGAGCTCACCCGCAGAACCATCCTATGGGACGGGACATGCAAAGCTGCAGAATAGAGAAGAGCTTGGTGGGAGAGGAGGGCAAGGAGTGCCTGCTTCCTGCAGGGGCATCATGAGCCAAATGAGGAAGCTGAAGGAAGTTTTGTCTTTCAAAGCCCCCTTTCTGGATCCTCTACTTGCCAAACCTTGGCCCTTCCCTGTCTCCCTGCACTGGTCTTAAGAAAGGGGTTGAGTGATATCTTCCATCTGGCCATCTTTTAAACACTTTAATTTCTAAACACATAGACAAGGTGGCTCGAGCTGGAGTTCAGTCGTCGTCATGTGTTTCTTCTCTCTCTTCTTCCTTAGACATACTCTGTCTTCACTATTCCCTCTGCTCCTCTGCTTTTCGTTCTAATTTTGCCCTTTCTTCCAAAGAATAGAGATGAGGAGTGAAGAAGCAAAGGAGAAGGGGAGGGGTGCTAAGTCATGGCATTAGTAACTCAGTATGTGTTCTCATCTCTACCTCTCTGGTGCATCTTTGGGCGAATTTTCTAACCTCTCTTGGCCTTCTTGTCCTCCTTTTGTTGGACTCGATAATCTCTAATGCCATATTTCAGTCTCTCTGTGATTACAGTCCAGAAACAAGTAGGTCAAACCATATAACCAATCAGGTGTCTCAGACCCAACAAACTTGAACTCACCATCTTCCACCCCAAACTGTATCTGTTGTGCTTCCATCTCAGTGAATGGCATTATTTTCTACCAAGTTACCCAAACTGGAGACCAGGTATGCTTCCTAGACTTTTCTTGTCACTCCCTAACATCTATTCCATCACCAAGGGTGAAAAATATCTTGAATCCAGCCTCTTTTTATCATACCCCCGTCACAGTCTAACTAGTTCGGTCATCCATTGTACTACCAGGCTACCATCCTCTTATTACAGTAGCTTTCCTACTGGTTTCCCTGTTAGACCCGTCAGTCATCTGTCTAATACGGACTTCTGATTATATTGCAGCAAGGTAATTCAGTGGCTTTGCAGAATCTATTGAATACAATTTAAAGTCCTTAGCACGTCATTACAAGCACAGTTCATCAGCCATTTTGTCTTCACTTACTGGTTAGGTTGTAACTGCTCTATACTTATACTCTATCCTCCAAAATTTGACTCCTTATACCTGCTTAAACACAACACATTTTCTCTCACGCATCTGGCCCTTCAGACTTGCAACTCTGTCTCCCAGGAATGCCCTCTCCCACATTCCGGCCACTGGCAAACTCTTACTGTTACTTCCAAGTTTCAACTCAAACGTCACCAGCTGTTGAAAGCCCTCCCTTACTCTCCCAGGCCGACTCAGTGTCCCTTCATGTAGCTCTCATCGTATACGTACATACGTCTCTTAAAGCACACATTACCTACTATCATAGCCATTTACATAGTTGTTTACTCTCCTCTAGACTATGACAAATGCTTTTTCTTCTGTGGAATTCCAGGGCCTAGCAGTAGTTGACACATCATTGGCACTCTGCTCAATAAATGAATGAAATGATGAATGAATGGAGAAATGAATGGAAAGATGAACTTGGCTTGAAAGTTCAGCAGCTCTCCTTAGAGAAAAATAATAACAAAAATGGGAAAATCTTATTTCTTTGCCGGAATCAGGATTGAATCTAATAATGAATGAGGATTCCTCATCTAACACCTGGCACATTGTAGGTACTAAGGAAAAATGTAATTTTCCTTTCTCTTCCTTTCTCAAAAGGGTTCCTTCTTGATTCCTCTCTTCTACTCACATCCTACCTTCTACAGTTACCTATAGCCTATGATTCAAGGAGTAGGAACTCCCATGGAATGGTGTGAATCCAAGGTAGAAAGTTAAAGCTTTTGAAGAAATGGCATTTAAAATATTTGTCATCATAAGCATTGGTTCTTACTCCTTTGGATTGAAAATCTGACCATGTTGCTCCCCTGTTTAAAACATTTTAATGGCTTACCGTTGCTCTTAGAATGTGACACCACCCCCCTTACCATGGCCCGCATGGCCCTCTGTAATCAGCCCTGTCTCCCTCCACTTGCTGAGTGTCTCTTTGCCCCCAACTCTGTCTCTTATAGCCAGACAAGACTTTTCTCAGTTGATTTTAATTTAATTTTTTTTTTTTTTATTTTTCCCCCAAAGCCCCAGTAGATAGTTGTATGTCATAGCTGCACATCCTTCTAGTTGCTGTATGTGGGACGCGGCCTCAGCACGGCTGGAGAAGCGGTGCGTTGGTGCGCGCCCGGGATCCAAACCTGGGCCGCCAGCAGCGGAGCGCGCGCACTTAACCGCTAGGCCACGGGGCCAGCCCTCAGTTGATTTTAGAAGTCAAGTTTCATCCAGGCTGAAATCTTCTTAATATTCATTTTTCCACCTGGAAAACTTCCCCAACTTTTGTGACCAGATAACTCTTTATCCCTCTGAGCTCAGATAAAAACACACATCCTCATGGAGGCCTTCCCAAATCCCTCTGTGAGATTGTTCCTCCTCCTTGTCCCTCTTGTCGCCGTTACACCCTTTTCCTTTGGAGCCCTTACCACAGTTGTGGTTATTTGTTTATTTATGTAGCTTTTGTGTGTCTGTTTGCTTGCTTATGATTTGGCTGTAAGCTTTATGCGGGCAGGGGCCGTATATGTCTTATGCACCACTGTATCCTTATTGCTCTGCGTAAGAAATGGCCCCTTAGAGGTGCTTGGCCATTTGTTGATTGAAGACTGTAAGGCAGCAGCCACAATTCCTCTTTATTCTACCTATCTCCAAGGAAGTCTGTTTTCCTGGTTTAAAAAACATACCTTTTAATTTGAGTTTGGTTCAGTCAGGCTGAGCATAAAGTTAGCACCTAGTGCGTACCGGGCTTCATGCTGGGAGCTGGTGGCTACAGTGTTACCTGAGAGAGCCTGATGCAAAGAGCCTGAGATGCCAAATTGGTCCCGTTGAGCACAGGTTCGAGCCCAGGCCCACTCACTAGCCTGTGATGCTGAGCGAGTCACCTAACCTCTTGGACTCTAAGTGTCCTCCAGTCTATCATGATACTGCTTATCATGGAGCCCAAACTAAAGTGTTAGCACCTAAAAGGGCCCTGTAAATTCTAAAACTCTACCCAAACATAGTGATGATCGTGAATTGGTTCCTGCTCCCTAGAGGCTCCCAATCTGAGGAGCGGGGTCAGGATGCACCCTTATTTCAACAGTTCTAACCTAGGATGGCCTTTGTTAAGTTCTGAAAGAATGGAACATAGGATACTGGCTTTGGGCTTGGACATCTTCATTTTTGTAAGTTTTGTCTTCTTTTTTCCTTATTCTCTTTTTTTTTTTCTTTTTTGTTTTTTCTTTTCCTTCCTTCCTTCCTCCCTCCCTCTATCTCTCCTCTCCTCCTTTCTTTCGTTCCTGCTTTTTAATTTTTTGGCCTAAAATTTTCCAGGATAGCTGCTTCCTTTCTCTAATTTACCAATTATGTGTGGATGTGGTGAGAGTGGGACAGAGAAGAGAATCATGGGACAAGCAGAGGCTGCAGCTGTTGAGCTGACCCAGAGAGAAAGCTCTGACCTTGGCCAGCTTGGACAGCCATGTGCCCTGCGGCCAGTCTCCCCCTCTCCCCACCTGGGCTCACCCCACCTGGAGGCAACAGAGTCCCCTTGCAAGGTCGGCACCCGTCAGGATCCACTTCTTCAGTGGGGAGTCGCCCCTATCACGAGTTCTGTTCCCTCACTGGTCTAATGTTATTCTTTTGTCCTTGTATTTGGTAGTGCATATCTGCTGTGAAACTGCATGTGAGGAACTGTTCTAGGTTTCATGGTATTTACAGGCTTCCATAGAAGACCCAACCCTGTCATTCAAAGACAGTCATAACTGCTCGCTGTTACTGATGATCAATGTGTACTATTTATGTGTAACTAATGTGTGCACAGCATAGACCCCGTATATTATCTCATTTAATCGTCACAAGGACCCGATGAGGAAAGTGCTATTTTTATCCCATTTTACCATTGAGGAAACTGAGGTATGTAACTTGCTCAGGGTCATGTGGCAGTGATAGGCGGAGCTGGAGTTTTCACGGGGCAGACTGCTCCCAAGCGCAGTTCTTAGCCTGTGTGCCACATTGTTTCCTCCTTCTACCGGAAAAGAGAGGCCTAATGCATAACACAACCCAAGCAGAACCACATAAACATTGCAAGTGAGATACAAGGCATGCTGAAGGAATGCAGAGGAAATACTGGGGCACGGTGAAGATGAGGATGCACAGAGAGTCATCTGAGAAAGGGCTAAGTGCCTCTGGGCAGAGGGAAGAGTGGTAAGGGCAGCCCCCTCGAGTGTATGGGAAGGAGGTCATTGCTGCTAAAGGCTGAGGTGTGGAATAGTGGAATGGAATAGGAGGGAGATGGGAGGTGGAGTAAGACTTGCTTCTAAGGTGACAGCCCTTAACCACAGGGATGAACTGTTATACTAATTAGCGAGAAGTGCCCTTGAGGTCCTACAAGGTCTAGGCTTCCCAGAAACCACCTCCTCTGGTAGGAATTTTAGATCAAAAAATGGTGAAGTGGTGCTACAGCCTACTGGCTGGAAGTTATTTAGGGCCAAGCAGAGCCTTGATGCTCTGCCTCTTGATTCTGTGACCCAGGCCTGGCTCTCCGACACTCAGTCTTTTCTCTGCCCTCTCTTGTAGCTCTTGCAGGAGGCCACCATGAGCTCTCTGTGGTGCTCAGGGACTGGAGATGTCATCGAGGACTGGTGTCGATGCGACTCCACCGCTTTCGGAGCTGATGGACTCCCCACCTGTGCGCCTCTCCCACAGCCTGTGTACGCTTCCCTTTCTCTGCCTCTCTCTTGCATGCATGCCTCAGCATCGTTTTGTGAACGTGTGCTATAGAGTGTCTACTATTTGCAAAGCCATAGACCGTGTACTGGGGAACAGAAAGTAAAACATGGTGCAGACCTGCCTTCAGGGGGCTTTCAATCTTCTTGGCACTTGAATTTCTCCTTGAAGGTGAAGAAAGTAGGACAGCGTGACTAAAAGATAAGAGGGTAAAAGTGCTGCTGCGGTGGAGGACGTTAGAGCTCTATAATGAGACCCTTACTAGGCCATCAACACACTTACTAGCTGTCAGGCACTGTGTGGAGCAGCTAGGTACTGTTTTCACCCCCCATCCCCCCCACTTAATAGACAAGGACATGGATTCAGATGGAATGAATAATTTTTCTAAGGTCATAGAGCAGGAAGCAGAGCCATGGCTAAGAGGCCATGATCTTAGCCATCATAATATGGCGAGGATACAACTGAGAGATGACTTTGGGTAGAACCAACAGGGCTTGGTGACTGATTGACTGTAGGAGTGAGAAGGAAGGAAAAGTTGAGAATGGACTTAAGACTAATGACCTGGGTAGCTGGGAAGATGAATAGGCCACAGCTGAAAAGAATAAGCAGGTTTGAGGAGGAGGCTGGTTCCGTTTTGACCTGCCTTGGCGTTATAGTTGATAGTCCTACAGAAGTGTTCAGTGGTCAGAGGGAAAGATGGTCTGGAGCTGTAAAAACGTGAACACTAGAGATAAGACGATTTAAATCAACCCCAAAGAAGTGAGAAACGGAGCCACAGCTATGAGAAATAAGAATAAGTATCACTGGGAAGAGCAGAGAGTCAGGGATGAGCATTAGAGGGTGTCTGCATTTGAGGGGTGAGCAGAGGACAAAGTACTGCAAAGGTGGCTGAGAATGAATGCATCCAATTTCCTTCCCCTCTGGGGAAGGCTGAACAGACTGGCTGAGGTCATGTAAATTCTCAGGCTGGGGCCCGAGGCAGGAGCCCCTTCTACCCTCTAATATGGCATCTGCCATGGGAGTGAAGCACAGAAATATCATGTCTACTAAAGAGTGCTGGTAGGACAAGCTGGAGGAGCATGACTCCACGGGTTTGTAAGGCAAAGAAAGCCCGAAGTGAGGATCAGGACCCATGGTAACTGGAGAGCTGAGTCACCAGGAAGAAGATGGCAGCAGGAAACAAGCAAATAGAGGCTGATCTTGGTGAACACTGCCCTCTGCCTGGCCTGTTACGTGGAAGTGCAGATGGGCTTTAAAGGGCCAGGACTGGGGCCGGTGGCCCCAGTAGTGGTTAAGTTTGCGCACTCTGCTTCAGTGGCCCGGGATTCGCAGGTTCGGATCCCGGGCACAGCCCTACACACCGCTTATCAGGCCATGCTGTGGTGGGTGTCCCACGTATAAAGTAGAGGAAGATGGGCACGGATGTTAGCTGAGGGCCAATCTTCTTCAGCAAAAAGAGGAAGATTGGCAACAGATGTTAGCTCAGGGCTAATCTTCCTCACCAAAAAAAAAAAAAAAGGTGGGGGGGCCAGGACTGAGCAGCAAGAAAACTGAGAAAGAGGAGAACACAATAGTAGAACGTCATTATGAGCCAACGTCTTCTCTGGTCCACAGGCCTTCTCTCTGTGGGTAGTTTTAGATACACCAGCCATTGGCTTCTGGCTCTTTATAGCCATGGCTTGGACCTCTTGAGTCAAAAGACAATCAAGCTCATTGTTAGTAAAAGTCTTCTCTTTTGGTAGAAGGGAGCCAGTAGAAGAAGGTGGTGCTTCTAGACTGATGTATCAACTAAGAAAGCTACCTTTGACACATAACGCTGAAGCCACCAAACAGTTATCATCAGGTGGACTCAAGATCCAGCCATTAGTGTTATAGGGCTGATTTCATTTCTAAACCTGTTTACTAAATGTCGTAGCTAAAGATCAAATTGGGCTAAATTTCCATAAACAGGAACATCTATTAAGGACTTCACTTTCCTCGTCAACTCTAATCACTTCTTTCAGTGGCAGACCTCAGATTCTTGAGTTTTTATGGGTAACTGGAAATAGAAATGCATTCTAGTTTTACACAAGTCTATGTAAATCATACGCACTCATTTCTTAGTAGAGGCCTTAGTCCATATTTTCACAGAATCTGAGTTCTCAGAAAGGCTTAGTTACTTCCTTAAGCTTCCTAATGCTTTGTCTTCAAAATAGCACTCTGCATATGACTCTAATTAATGAATTTGTCAATATCCGCACTGTTTTGGGTCTATTCCATCTTTAATGTCATATGCAAACTATGCACTCCTTCATAGTAAGCCACTAAAGAGCATGTGTTTTGCATTATTTTCCCACTAGTTGAATTCCTTGCTATTGCTCCCACAGCTTCCCACGATTTCTTGTTAAAGTTCTTATCACATATTATTATAATCACATGTATAATTGTATGTTTGTCTATTGACCATTTCATAAAAGAAGGGGCTGGAGCTGGCTTGTGCACCACTGCATCTTCAGCACCGAACATATTCTTATAAATAATGTGTGCTTAATAAATATTTGTTGAATTGAAATTAACATTTCTTTGGTGTCATCCATCCACCATATCTTGCCCAATGATCCTTGAGAACAGTGGCAGTCATCTGTGAGCTGAGTGGAGGCTAGAGGGCCAGGACTATAGGTGGTTATAAAATATAGGAGCCAAGGATGGAGTGAATGTAGGGATGCACGTAAGGAAGGGAGGCTGGAGTGAGCAGGAACTGGGAAGATTCCCAGAAGCCAGTGGTCTAGGAAGAAACAGGGAATTGGAAGCAAGTGAGAAACCTGAGACACACACATGAAGTCAGAGCTAGGCAGCGAATTGAAACCACTTGGACCATTAGGAGATCCATACCAGTGAATGTCAATGATGTTTATTGAGTCTCTTCAAGGTACAAAGAGATATGAGACGGCAAGGCAAAAGAGTGGTCAAAATGGACAATTCACGTGGAATGAGGAGACCATGAATTGGGAAAAGCAGGGCAAGACTGGAATCAGGAATCAGGATATTCATAGGAACCCAAGAGCAAAGACTGAAGTCAGAACCTGAGTTTGCAGACACAGGACATCAACCTGAGGAGAACTTGATGTGTGGCCAACTTTCTCTTGCCCAGTAAAGCCCCTAAGAGCATTACCTCCAAACTGAGTCTGTTCCAAGGCCCAGACAGCAGAAGGCCTGGGGAAGAAGATGTGTTAGTACCCTTAGCAAGAGAGGAAACAGGTCCAGCAGCAGGGCAGATCTGGGTAATGCTATGGGAATGGAGCTGACTGTGGCCTTGTTGATGCCAGGCTCTCTCAGACACCACCTTCAATGGGCCTTGGTATGAGCTTTATAGGCACATGCTCTTATTTTCCAGAGTAAATCCAGATATTATATTTTCAAGACCTATAAAAGGCTATCCCAAAAGCCCTATCCACTGACCCTGTAAGATGCAGGCGTTCATTCATCTTTGACTCACCTACTTATTTATTTATTTATTTACAAATATGTGTTGAGTTCCTAATCTGTAACAGGCACTTAGATAAATAAAATGTAGATTTCAAGGATCTTCAAGAACCTTTACCCTCTAGTGAAGGAGACAGGCTTTCAAAGAGATCATTGTAGTGGTTGGTTAAGAAAGGCTAGAAAGAAGAGTTTACGGTGTAACCATTGAGAAGGTGGCTAGTGGTGGCATCAGAAGACCATCTCAGGCCTCAGCTGGGTCCCCGTTTCATGTTTCTCCCTGTCTGCGTTCAGGCTGAGACTCTCCACGGTTCACGAGCCCAGCAGCACCCTCGTGGTCCTGGAGTGGGAACACTCAGAGCCTCCAATCGGGGTGCAGATTGTCGACTACCTCATCCGTCAAGAGAAGGTCACTGACAGGATGGACCACTCCAAAGTGGAGACAGGTGAGCATCTCCCACTTCGTGGGTTCACCTTGATCCAGGGTGGTAAAAAGGAAAGAAAATGTCCTGCCTCCTGGCTTTGCCCCGGTCCCCCGTATCCCAGGGCAATGCAGGAGGAGCAGGGAAAAGAAACAGCAGCCGTCTTGTCGTCTTGTCCGTTTAAGAGTTTTTGCATGGTGAGCATCTGACAAAGTCTTGTTTTGATTCTGTTTTTCTTTTTGTTTATAAAAGAGGTGTCCATTTCATTGCCTCTAGGCACACTCACAAAGAAACAACAATACCGTACACTAGTTATCCTAGCCCACAATTAGGAAACAATTCTGTGCTAACCACTGCCATGATTACAGAAAAAAATTCCTTTGCTAATAACCCCCCTCTAGGCAAAAGCATGTGCAAATAGATGCGCTTACCCCATGTCTTGTCCCAAAGCAAACCCTGCTTTTGCCAGGTCTAGCTAGAAGAGGGAAGCCTTAAAGGAGTGGAAACACCCCATGAAAAATGTTCCGTGCCTTAGTGTTTTGCTCTCTACACATAGGGAAAGATCGACATAAATCACTCCTAAAACTTACGCATGAGTGTGGTCATCAGCAGGACGGTGGTGTCCACGTTCTAATTCAGGGTAAATAGCTTCTGGTGAAACTATCACCGAGGCTGGGAGACATGTGCACTGCCATCAGGCATGGAGAGCTGTCCACTGCTTCCTCCGAGGCCCTTTCCCCTCATGCGCACAGGTACTGTGAGGGTCTGGCAATGGCCATTGACCAGAACAGCTGTTCTCTGCCCGTGCCAAGAACACTTCATTAAAGAGCTTGCAGATGTGGTATGTGCATCTTGCCTTAGTTGTTTCTGAACTAACTCTGGACAAATGGCTCTAAATTGACTAGTTAAATATGAAACAGTCAGAAAAGACCATTCTTTCTAGGTCTTCTTTCTCTACTGGGAATCTAAGAAGACTGGGGCCCACGCAATTTTATTGTTAAGTTCTCGTCGAGTTGATCCCATTCCTCACGTCGTCTCCTTTCCTTCCCCTCTGGCAGAAACGGTGCTGAGCTTTGGGGACGACATCATCTCTGGAGCGAAGTCTCCTTGTGCCATGCCTGCTCAGCTGCCAGACCAGCAGCTCACCACCATCTCTCTGATTATACGATGCCTGGAGCCCGACACCATCTACATGTGAGTGACACACACCTGCCCGGTTATTCCTTACTCTGAAGGTCCCAGGGCTTTTAGCTGGCTCCTTTTTGCTACTTGAGTTCCTTTAGAGACCTGGAAGCATATTTTGAGTTTCTCAAGTCTTGTCCCAGTCAGCATTATAGAGAACTTTCCAGGCAGTGGAGGGAGAGGATCAAGAAAGACAATATAGCCCCATCCTTCAAAGAGTTTGCAACCTAGAGGGGAACTATATAAACAACCAACTTTAACCTCAGGCAGAATGAAATAAATGGTAGATAGAAGAGCAAGGAACATGTTGTCGAAGAGAAAAGAAAGACGTGATTAATTCTCACTGGAGTGGACGTCGTCTGAATTGGGTTGTGGAATTTCAGTAGGTAGAGTAATGTTGGAAAAGGCACATCAGGCCAAGGAAACAGCAAGGGCAAAGGCAAGGAGGCACGAAGGTGAGTAGAAAGTGGTCCAGCGGGGCGGAAGCAGACGGCAAGTAAAAGGAATGGAAGAAAGGGAGGCTGGGAAAATCGAGTGAATGCTGTTAGTCAGGGGAGATTGTTAATTTTTCTTGGAGGAAAGGAGTAGAATACCAAGAACTCTGCTTTGGAAAGCTAGCTGAGCGGCATCAAAGTAGAGAGTTTATAGAGATTAGAGAAGGTCAGCATTTTTTCAAAGAAAATACAGTGAATTCCTATATCATGGAGCTAGGAACTGCCCTGTTCTCTCTGGGAGCCCTTCCCCATTTCTCCCTGTGCGATGGGAACAATTGTAAAATCTTTGTGAGGCAGAGACGTAAAAGACACCAAAAGAGGAGAGATAGTGATGGAATCTAAGTCATGATGGGAAAATGTGGGGGCTTAGGCAGAATCCATAGTGATGTACTTCTGGAACCTTTTGACCCCATCAGTATGAAAAACATTTAACAGTTTACACATGACATCACAAGACTAGAGTCAAGGTTTCCAGAATAAATCATTTCCATTTCCACATTTAAAGAGGTCAAAGATGAAAAGCCTAGAAATGTGAGTGGCGTTGATTGCAAGATGAACTCAAATGTTCAGGCTGAATATCTTCGATAGAGGAAAAAGAGATGTAACTAGAGGGCCATGCTGATGAAAGTAAAATACGTAAAGACAAAGTGGTATTCTAGAGGAGCTGGAAAATATAGAGACAGAAGTGATAATACTAGGACAAAGGAAAGTCAGTCCACTAATGGTTCTCATCAGCTCGCTTGCTATGGGGCATTTGTGGCCCCTCATTAGGAGGAGAAGAGGCGAAAGGAACAAAGATTTGGGAGTAGAGACCACCTAACCTGGTGTAAAATGCCTCGAACTCAGTGAAACTGGAATGATCATTTATAATAAGGGCTCAGTAATTCCTGTAACTGTCACAACTGTTAATTAGGAATTTCAAAGTCCCTAGGAGCCTGAGGCTGGCATGGTTATCTGTGGGAACTGCCAGCTCTTACCCACCCTGGGGCCCTCCTCATGTTGGCCTGATTTGGCTTTGTTTCTTGATCAAAGATCTGAGGCTGATACCTTCTCCCACTCCTACTATCCTTGGTGAAGTTCCAGTACTGCGCTCTCATGTCTTGTAAAATAGGAACTTTCTGTCAATGTTGATTATTGAAGAAGTTAGAGACAATGCCCTGGCTGAGGGGAAAAACAGCCAACCTCCACTAGATGGCGCTGCAGATCACACAAAGAGGGCCCGTGGGAGGGCCTGGGAGAGAGCTTCCTCTCCATAGAAGGAAGGAGTGAAGCCAACTTCAGTCCCTAGAATAAGGAGAGGGGCCTGGATTAAGAGTTAAGAACACATGGGTCCCAAGCCTGGTGTTGTTTCTAACCAGTAAGTGACTGTAAGTGAGACAAAGTCTCTGCAACTAAGTTTTCTTATCTATAAAATGGAAGAAGGCAGCCTTCATTTATGGAGTACTTACTATGTGTGGGTGCCTCTGGGGACTCCCTAACCATGCCAGATTAGGGTTATTGTTTCCATTTTACAGTTGAGGAATCTGGGGTTCAGCAACACTGAGTTACTTCCCCAGAATCACACAGTTGGTTGTCTGGGGCGTGGCGGGTGGTTAAGAACTGAATCAGGGTTTGCATTTTCTTCACTCACTGCATCTCACTCCCAGCCACTCAGGCCACTGGAAGGATCTAGTCCCATGATCTTATTACCTCAATTAAAGCATAGAGCTGCCTCTTCACCTGGGGTCCACGGAGGTAGAGCTGCATTTCAGCGGAGCTGGCTTTCTTTGTCATCCTGTGCTTTTTATTTAATGCATTTAAAAAACATTATTCTGAGAAGGGTCCATGGTACAAAACAGTTAAGAATCCCTGGCTGAAAGGGATCTTAGTGTGTCTGGTCTAACATCTTCATTTTACAAATGAGGAAACTGAGGCCAGAGTGGGGAGGTGACTCCTCCGCCTTCTAGCCCACCACCCCCTCGTCACCGCATGCGCTCACAGGAGAGCTGCTGCCTTTTTGGGCATGTGACAGCGGACGGATAATTCAGAAAAAGGGAGCCGAATGGGAGCAGTCAGAAACTGCCATCTGGAGGGAGAGAGCGTGACAGGAGCAGACAAAGGCAGTCGGCCCTTGACAGGAGGCCCCAGTTCACTGCATGCACATCAAGTTTCAGGCCTTAAAGACCCCGGCCCTGGACCAGAGCCAGGCTGTGTGGGTTCACACACACACATACACACACACACACACACACGATTCAGGTGTTGTCACACAGGCTCTAAGGACAGGCCAAACAGTCCCAGCCAGGCAGCTGTGGACAGGGCCCGGAAGCTTTGGATGAGGCAGTCAATGTGCTTACACATTAGCCCTCCGGATTAGGGGCAGGGCTTATCTCTTCTGTCCAGTGATTCCAGCTAACCCTCTTACTGTCCTGTAAGGGTTCAGTGGTGGGATGATGATGCTAACAATAATGGAAGAGGCCTTCCTGAAATGACTGCATGTGCCATTTCCCAGGAGAATGTGTGAAGTCTCCCTGGACTTGAATAGTAAGAATAAGCAGGTGACTCTTTTAGCGTCCCTCCAGGACTGCGGGAGCCGGGATGGCTGAGGAACGGCTCTTAGGACAAGCGTTGTCTTTACTTAGAAGGCTGTGGGACAATTATATTTGTCAATTATTCCTCTATAAAGTTAAAACAAAAAAGACTGTGGGAAGCATTTCCTTTCTTAATACTTTGCTTTGCTTTTAAAAATAGTAAGGTCTTAGGACCCTAAATTTTATACTAATCGCCCCTTCAGAGTAATGTGCAAATTAATTGAAGCACAGGCATTTTCGTCCCAGCTCAGGAGCCCATAGAGTTCAGCTGGAACCTACAGCAAGACAGGAACAAAGCAAAGCTGCCTGGAGGAGTGGGACAAGCTGGGGGGCGGGGGTGTGTGTGTGAGGAACAACACCATCCCGGGCACTGGGAGAGAGGGCCCAGCTGATAGCCAGTTTGGTACCTGAGGCTTAGGATGTTTCCCATCACAGTCCAGGGAGTCTGCTAGAAATTAAAGGCCTGGGGTTAAATAATGGTGGGCTACAAAATGTGGCTGGAGTCCAGCCACAGGCAGCCTAGGGCAGGTGACCCCTAAGCCTGTCAGCACACAGGCAGGCAGCATCATGTGGCCCGTCACAGGTAGCAGGACTCCAGCCCTGACCCGCAGTTCCAAGGCCGTGCTCAGGACCCTGGGAGGCGGACAGGAGAAGACAAAGCAGGGCCGTTTTACAGAGGATGGGGCACCAGGCAGGCTGGATCTCAGCCTTGGAAACCAGGGCAGGGGCTTAGGAGTGCGGGCTCAGACACGCAATTGGGGAGGGGGCAGTGGAGGAAGAGAGCCCAGTGGTGAGAACTGGGACACAGGCTGGGCTCGTGCTAGCAGCCCAGTGACCTTGCCGGCCACAGGGCATCGGCCTGGGGGAGAACAGGGCTTCCTATCTCCTGACTCCAATGAGAACTGACACCAGATGTGGGGTCAGGGCAGAGTCTGCAACGAAGATCAAGTGGCCCACCCCTGGGCGGTGAGATGGACTCCCTACACATCAGGGGCCCTATGGTCAGGCTCTCTGGTGAGAGAAGGGGGCTCACTCAGACCCCAGAGGGCAGTCCAGCGAGGTGTGTAGAACAGTGTCAATCCTCGGACTCTCTCCCTTCCTCTCCCCCAGCACTCCGGCCCTAGGAAGGGGACACAGACAGGTGGGAGGAGGATCTTCACCTGTGTTTGGGAATCCCAGACCATGAGATGCAGGGGTGCACTCTGCCCTGGCTACCTCTGGGCCCATCCCTGACAGTCTGGAGCAGGAGGGCCAAGGAGGGAGTTGAGACTCGGCCTGAGACCCAGGTTGTAGAACAGAACTAGGAAATGTAGCAGGTGCCAGACAGGGCTGGTTGGATGCACCAGCTTCAGGTTGGGTGGCCTCAGTTACAATCCTAGAAACAGTACCAAGAAGCCCATCAGATGTGTGGGGGCCCAATGATGGAAAATTGTGGTGGCTGCCATTGCTAGGGATCCAGGCAGCCCGGTGTGTGGGACTGGGTGCAAAGAGCCCACTGGGACCTAGTAGGAGAGGGATGGCAGAGAGAGAAGGGAAGCAGGATCCTGGATTTTGGATGAGGGTCAGGGTGGGGTTTAGTACTAGGCCAGATGGTAGATCTGAACTAAGGAGTGGGCACGAGGCAGAGGCCAGTGGAACAGACTGAGCCACCTTGTGTGGGTAGGAGGGGAAAGCTGAGGACCTGGTTCTGGTCTGCCTGACAGCAAGGAGGCCAGGCAGTCCTGAGGGAGTCCACAGGTGTGGTCTGGGCCCTGCACCCAGGCAGGACATCACATTCTAAGTCCCGCCAGACCAGAGTTCCAGGTGGGATGGAGCCTCCTGTGTGAGGTGTCCATGACTCCAGCATGAGGACCTGGGGAAGGCAGAAGGAGGGAAGGTCACACTTGGGGAGGACAGGCTCTTACACGGAACATTCTCTGGGCTTCTCTGTGGGGAGGGAGAGGTAGATGCAAGGTTCTCCTTTCTCTGCTGAGACACATATTTCCTGGCGGTCTCATGAGACAATTTCCACTTCTTTTCTACCTCCCTAGTCCAGCTGTCCCAGGGCCAGCCGATGTTTACCTGGGCCACCCCATCTCAGGCCTCTCTCTTCCTTTCACCTCTTTCTCCCTGTAACTCTGCCAAGAGGAAAGAAAATCCAGGCTTGCCAATAAATGCAGACTTCCGTGGCAACACAGCAAAAGAGAAAGGGACAGGAAAGGCAGCGTACCGATTTGCTTTAGACTCACGAGGTTAGTTATTAGAGGCCCTGGGCACCGACATCACAGCTTGTGTTCGTGGCTATATTCGAATCCTCTCTGAGTGGCAGAAGCTGGAGTTCGTTCCTGTTTTTCCTCTCCACCCAGCTCCATCACCCAAGGGGGAAATGTACATGCAGCTTTTGAAAGCCAGGGCTCCATCCCCTTCCTCGGGGAACTCTCAGAACCACATCTTCTCATTGTCAGGGGTGGCACAAGGTTTCCACTCTAAACTCCTGGTCCACGGTGGGTAGTGTCTGAGTGGGACAGAGGAGCTTCATGTAGGAAATAGAGCCCCCAGCCACGGGCAAGTCAAGTCCATTAACTCTGGCTATTTTGCTTTTGACTTTAAAGAGGAAAATCGTCCTCAGTCTTTTGCATAAAAGTGTCAACTGAGCACAAGAGGGAACAGAACAGAATTAATATGAGCTGGGCAATGTCATGGTTCCGGGTGCTGCACCGGGTCTTCCTGTACATTGTTATCTCATTCATCTTCACAGTTACTCACAAGCAGTTTTATTATCACCCCCGTTTCACAGATAAGGGAAAAGAAAGCTCAGAGGAGGTAACTATAACCCTACGTGGCAGGGAGCAGAGGCTTCAGACCCAAGTCCTGACTATCTGTTTCCATAGATACATACTGTCCCTCAGCTCAGTGGTTGTCAGAATGGAGCTGGCATCAGAATCACCTGGAAGGTGTGTTATTGCACAGATTTATGGTCCCCATCTCTAGAGTTTCTGATTCAGTTGTCTGGGGCAGGGCGTGACAATTGTCATTGCTGTCGAGGTTCCAGGTAATGATGATGATGCTGCTCTGGGGACCCCACTTTGAGAACCACTGCTCTAGGCCATGATGCTTTCCATCAAATAATCTACTCAAGACAGCAAATTACCACCCAAGACCCGCCAGGAAGCAGTGAGAGGCTCTAGACTGCACACTTTATGACCTGGGTAGTGCAGTAAGTGTACTGTGGGGTCACGAGAGCAGCCAGGGGCAAACCTGCCTGTTCAGACAAAGCTTGGCTCTCAGCCAGGGCCTCCGGTTCTCCGATAATGATTCCCTCCCCTCCCTGCCAGGTTCACCCTGTGGGGAGTGGATAACACAGGACGACGCTCCAGGCCAAGTGACGTGATCGTGAAGACCCCCTGCCCCGTGGTGGATGACGTCAAAGCCCAAGGTAAGAGACACGGAGGCTAGCAGAGTCTGCAGGGGGATGCCCCGGGGACCTGCCCTCGCCATGAGGAAAGCAGGAGCAAGGGAGGCGAACGGAACAGCCTGGAGTTCATGAGAAGGGGGCAGAATTCAAGGTCCAGCACAGGAGCATCACCTTTCCAGGAATACTCCTCAGCCTCTGCCTCTGGCGGAAATCCTCACCGTGTCCCATTATTCCACACTGCCCGTTAAGTCTAGGAGCCGGTGGGAGACATGATGAAAGCCCCGGGCACACCTGGTCATACACCAGGTGCTTAGGTATGTGGTGAAGTAGCCGTGACCTCTGCCCTCAGGAAGCCGATCAGGTCACTTACTCTCTTATTTTTTGTATATCTGAAAGGTTATTTTGAATTAAAGCACAGACAGCCTACAGATTTGAAATTAAATGCTATATTCCTCCCGGCCAAAGATGTGTCAAAACCCTTAATTCTGTATTTTGGAGTTCCGTGGACCAGTTCTTTGGTAAAGAACCGTCCCTCTTCAGTGCATCAGCGTCGGCCCTTGTCCATTAGGAAGAGTTTGTCTCAGTCAGCATCCATCGCACCTACAAAGAGCACGCTTCTTGGCGCTCCTTTCCTCATGATGCTCCCTGGCTGGTCTTGACATCATGCCCTGCTCTGAGGCCGACCATATCCCCTCCACAGCCAGAATCTAGCTGTGCTGGGCTCCACGTCTACAGGGCTCTGGCACTAACCAAAGTGATCTGATCAACCACTCATATCTATTCGGGAGAATTAGACTATTGCATTTGCACATTCGTGGAGACATTGACGACGCTGGAAATTTAGGCTATGCAAGTTTCAAGAAGAGAAATATTGTGGCCGAGCTGATTTCTGGTACCCATAAAGTCACCTTACATGTGGCTCCTGACTCCAGTTGCATCAGGTCGGCCACAAGGCACACAATCCCACAGTGTTCAAGGGGTGACACCATGGTGACGTGAAAACACACTGCTTTAACTAAAATCGCCCATGTTGTAGCACTTTACAGGCTCTAAGAGGATTTTCACATTTATTGCTCATTTAACATGCACAGCGTGTTAAGGGCACTCTTATTTTCAACACAGAAATCTGATCATATTAAGGCCCCTTCTTAAAACTCTTTAATGGATTGCCGTTCCTCTTGTGATAAAGATCAAGATATTTAACAGGCATATTAGGACCTAAATGGAGTGGCCCTTGCCCACTTCTCCAGGCTCTTCTCCCACTGTCCCCATCAATCTCTGCATTTCAGCCTCCCCGCCTCTCTCAGTTCCTCCAACACACCAATTCTGCTTCTACCACTAGGCCTTTGTACATGTTGGTCTCAGTACCCCAAATGCTCTCCACCCCCACCCCTTTCAACAGATGAGCTCTGCTTACCCTGCAGATTTCAGATCAAGTGTCCCTTCTTCAGTACAGAAGGGGTAAAGCGTTGTTGCTAGATATCATCACAGTACCATGTTTCTTTCATTCATCTCTGTTTATTATAATCATGTGTTCAATATCTACTTCACTGGACAGCGAGTTCCATGAGAGCAGGGTCCTGGTCTCTTTTTGCCCACGATTGTGTCCCTAACACTTAGAAGGCAGCATGGTGACCAGCTGGTTACAGGAACACTTAGGTTCTGGAGTCAGACCACCCAGGTTCAAATTCCTGCTCTACCATCAGACTACTTGACCTTGAGCAGCTTACTTTCCCTCATGCCTCAGTTTACGAACCTGTAAAATGGGGGGAGGGATAATAGTACTCTAGCCAATAAGATTCTAGCAAGAATTAAACGAGTGAATTTATTAGTATTTTTTAAAAAGTGCCCATCCCAGAGTAACTCTTCAGTAAATGTTAGAGGGTATACATTTCTGGGGTTGTGTCCCTCATGGTCAACCTGATACAGCTGGAGCCAGGAGCCATAAATAAGGTGATATGAGGGGCACCAGCAAATCAGCTTGGCGACAATATTTCTCTTACTGAAACTTGCGCAACCTAAATTTCCAGCATCAGTCCGTGTCTCCGTTAATACACGAATGCTCTCATTAACCATGTGTAGACTCTGCTTTCCAATAGGAACTCAGTACGTATTTACTGAATGAATAGAATATTGCCCCCATTTTTAAAATGCAGAAACTGAGATTCAGAGAAGAGTAAATAAGCTGACCAGGTCACCAAGTTATCATCTAAGAGAGCCAGCACTCGGACTCATTATTTAACATCAATTCCCATTTTGCCTACAGTGTTAAATTGGATATTTGAAGGGTTATTATGTAAAAGACTGAAAACCTTTTTGGTCTGTGAGTACTGATGAAGGAAAGACATACATTAAAAAAAGAATGTTCATGTTAGATACCAAAAAACTTCTCCCTTTCAGGACTAAAGTGTCCACTGGGACGTTAAGTGTAAGACAGACATGCTTCTCTCTGGAGTGAGTGCTGCTGGCCTAGAGGGTGTGGACTGGGTGACTTTGAAGGTCTCCACAGTCCCCCGATGATGAAAGCAGAGTCTGGGGTTGAAAACCCCCGGATGAGAGACAGTCTGGAGAGGACCGGTGGCGCCCTTATCTCATTATCTGTTGATTTCTTACTCCAAGCCGGAGAGGAGCAGGTGATAAGAAGGTGCCCCAGCTACTTCTGTGTTGGAGAATTTGCTGATGTCCTTGCCGGCAGTGGTGGGCACCTTGGACTTGCTTGCTGCATAGGCAGCAGGCTGGTGGGACATCAGGGAGGTGATTAGCAGGGACGAGGGATGCAGCATAACGCCATGTGTAGCAATAGATGGATAGGAAGCAACTCTGGAATAAAGAGTGGCCAACACAGAACAGTCTGCCTGGGAAAGATGACTGTACTTTTTCTCTGTGGGGCTTCTTTGGGTTAATCCCAGCCCCCAAAGTGTATCAAGATGTGCTTCTGCCCACTTGTGCTCCCTGACAAAGAAGAGTTTCTGAAACCCCAGCAGACCGGCTGGGAGGACCAGAGGCAATTTAATGCTGAGAGAATGAAATCACATTCCCAGGTGCTCTTATCCTTCAGCTGGGAAGGAGCCCTGTACAGGGCAAACGTGGAGAGTAATGAGTTAGACTAATTGAGGGTAACCTCGCAAATTAATACAGTTCCAGCAGTTCCACCAAAAAACCATATGCTTTGCCTCCTTCAAACCCAGATGGTGATCATAAATCTAACCCACCTGGGTCTGAGTTTAAACCTAATAACAAATGAGAATTATGTTTTAAATGACCCAGAGCATGACTTCAGCTCCTAATTGTATAGCAGGAAGCCAGACTCTATTCCTTAAATGAACACTTTTCCTAAACTAGATACTTCCTCTGAAGAATTTCACCACGTCATGACGCCAAAGCCACCATGCAAGTAAGTTTCTACCAGTGTTTTACTGAAACCACCCTTCCCCCAGTAGCAACAAGCTAGTGTCAGTAATAAGATCAACCTACTCTCCAGGTTGGGGCCTGGCCTTCCAAGAGCTCTTCATGAAGCTTCACTAAGTGAAGGCTAGTTCTCATCCATCACTCGCCCCACATCCATCCTCCTTTCCTGATGCCAAATATAAATTCTTATCCATTCCTTCATTTACTCCTTCCACAGACATTTATTGAGCCCTAGTATTAGATGCTAAAGAAACAAAAATAATTAGACTCAGAATCTATTTTCAAGAATTTTATAATCAGATTTCATGAAGTTATCAATTCATACACCATATATTAAGCCCTTACTAAATACCTGGTCTAGGCATGAGAGGGTAAAACCCCTGCCTCATGGAGCTTGTATTTTAGCAGGGGTGACAAACACCATAAAATAGTAATAAATAATATTTCAGATGGAGATATATGTCAGGGAGACAAGTAAGCAGGGAAATGGGACAGGAGGTGCAGAAGGTGGAATTTAATTTTAGAGTGGTTTGGGAAGAAGGTGAAGGAGAAAGATGCACAGATATCTGGGGAAGATCATTCCAGATAGAAGAGCAGCAGCAGGGAGATCCTTGGCATGTCTGAAGAAGAGAAGTGAGGCTCCTATGGTGGAGAGGGATGGTAAGAGGGAGGGAAGTCAGAGAGGAGCTCCAAGGGGCTGTGGGGCAGATCTCATAGGGCCTGGTCCTCAGAGTAGGGAACGGACTTTGCCTGGGATGGGGATGGGAAGCCCTGGAGGACTTTGAGCAGAAGAGTGACATGATCAGACTTAATGTTTCACAGGATCATTCTGTCTGCTGTGTTGAGAATGGACTCCAAGTAGCAGGTCTAAGGTGGAAGTCGGGAGACAAGTTAGAAGGCTTTGGCAATACAGAAGGGAGATGACGTTGTTTTAAACTAGGATACTTGTGATAGAGGTGGTAAGAGGTGGTCCAGTTCTAAATTATTTTGATGGTAGAACCAAAAGGATTTGCTAATGGACTGGATGTGGAGCAGGAGAGAAAGAAGAGTCACGTCAGTCTTACCATATATTGTGAAAAGCGCCGTATAGGGGGATGTACGGAGTGCTGAGGGATCACGGAAGGAACCACCTAGTTCAACGGCTTGTGATTTTTCCCCAGCAGACCCTGTGAAGACAGAGAAAAGATGGAGCAAGCTAGTTGAGGGCACCAGCAATGGGCCATGTGGATTAGGTCAGGTAGAGAAGGAAGTAAGTACGGGGCTGATGCCAGGAGTAAATGGAGGAGCCAAAGGACCTGGGGTTTCCGTCCCTGAAGAGTAGATTTGGTAGTAAGAAGTACAGGAGCCGTGAAAGGAGGTTGTGTTCACGGTATGTGGTGTTAGGATTCACTACGTCAAAGGTGGAGATGTTCTCAGGGATGACGATGGCTTTTGGTGGTTGAGGGAGTCTAGCCTTAAAGAGATCTTTCACTTGGGCAGTGAAGTCACCCAAAATGGTGATAAGAAATGAGGTGGAGAAGATGAACCAGATGCCAGATTTTTCCACGGGTGTAGAAGAATGGTCAGGAAGTGAGGAGGGGGAAATAGGAAGGGGCAGATGCGATTTTAAAGTGGAGGGAATTTACATATAGATAGAGAATAATCGTTTGCAAGAGGTCATGAGAGGCTGAGAGACTGCTTTTCTCTGGAGCATCAAGAAGGATCCCTCTGTACTGGAGAAGGCTTCAGGCAGGTTTCAGCCAACACAGGGATATGAGGGAAGAAGAGCGTTTGCCAAGGTTAACAGTAAAGGGAGAGCTGTTTGCCATGTAACAGTGCTGGTCCCAAAGGAAATAAGGAAAGTGGGAGAATGAATTAGTATAAAGCAGCAGTTCCCAAAGTGTGGTCCAGAGCAGCAGCAGCAGCAGCATCACCTTGGAACTTGTTAGAAATGCACATTCTCAGGTTCCAGCTGAGACCTGCAATCAGGAACTCCAGTGGGAACCAACGATCTCTGTTTTCACAGGCCTTCCGGGTTGAGAATCAAGTTCGAGAATCATTGGTGTAAAGGAAGCACAGAGCAGCATGAGGAGAAAGGGAGAGGGGAAAGGACAGACAGAGTTGGGGGGTGGAGGGAGGGACCTTGCGGTTTGGACATTGCTGAGAGTGACAGAGATATAAGGCCAGTTGGGATTCATTGTCGTCACGTTTTCATTTGGAATGCCAAGGTCAGTCACTTCAGTGTGGGGACAGACACGTCTCAGGTAGCTCCCGAGGAATAATGAAAGTGATGACTTAGGACCTCCGTTCAGGGAACTTTTGTTATAGCAGCCAAGGAAGCCATTGACAGAAGGTATAGATGCTTCCCTTATTTCACGGTATAAAGAGCAGCCACTACTGGGGGATAAGAAAGCTCACGTCTGCCCCTGCACTCACTCCTCTCCTTTAAATAAGACTATTCCCCCAGTCTCTTGGCCCCCATGTTTCAGTCTGTCTTGCTAATGGCATTGGGAAAAGCATGATCTAGTAGAGAACCAGTGATAATAATAATAATAATAACAATAATAATAACAATCCATTATTGTCCGACTGTTCTCCTCACTCACCTTATTCCAGACACTACAGTTTATTTGCTGTTTTCAGATATGCTGCCCACCATAGGCTGGGAGCCTGCGTGCTGACATTTCCTCCCCCTGGCACGCTCTGCCCAGACGTCCCCGCAGCTCATTCCCTCCCCTCCTCCAAGTCTCGGCTCACGTGTCATCTTTTCAATGAGACCCACCATGACCACACTATTTATGATTGCAGCGCCCCACCCAGCACTCCCAATCTTCCATTTTATTTTTCCCCACTTTCTAACACACTGTATTTTACTTATCTGTTATGTTTATTGCTTACCCGAATGTCTCTACTAGACTGTAAGTGCCATAAGGGTGAGGAATTTTGTTAGAGTTACTCCCTGATGTAGCCCAAGTGGCTAGAAAAACGTCAAGCACGTGGTAAGCACTCAGTGAAAATTTTATTGAATGAATGAATAAATGTATGCATCCTGTGTCCAGACATTGTGCTAAAGAAAGGCTTTGCATTTAATATCACTTTTAGTCTCACAATAATCTTAGAAGATATATTATTAACCAGCATTGAACAGACAAAGAAACTAAGACCCAGAGACGTTAAGTAACTTGTCCAAGGCCACACAGCTAGTGGAGTGGAGCCCAACTCCATTTGATGCCGTGGTGCCTGTTTTTAACCATAGCCCTGGGTTTGAGGGCTTCAGTCCCAGCCCTGTTCATTTATTCTACTGCCTAAGAGATCTTGGCTCCCTTCTAATAACTCAGTTTCCTTTTCTGTGATGAAGCTGTGTATATAGACTCCCTGACATCTTTTCACCTGCATTTTAACTGTTCCTGAATAGCATGCATGTTAAAGAGAGGGAAGACAGATACCTATTTTGGATAACTCAAGACTTCTGTGAAGCTGAAATCTGGATAAAATGATAACTAAAAATACCTTATATTCTTTTCCATTCTCTGAGTTAGTGAATTCTTGAGATGCTATGAAAGCTAGTGAAATAATATGTCTAAATGTTCTCAGTGGAGGTAGGAGGAGCCAGAAATATTCATGCTCTAGGAGCCTGGCATGTAGATCTCTCTGAATATAGCATCCCATTTACTGATGTAGGCTTTTAAGCACACCTTAGAGTTTGATTCTCCTGGTTTTAGGAGATGTATGGTGGAACCCGGGCCTATCCCACCTGGTCTCAGGCACATCTGCTGCTGCTAATGGGAAGCATCAGCCTCCTCTAGCCGGATATTACTGTTGTGTTATGAGAATAGTAAACAGGCCATTAAACACCGTCTTAGCATCACCATTCGTCAGTGGAGATTGTCACAAAGAGGGCCTGGGGTCTCAGATGCTATTTCCCATCACCAGAAATGAGAACAGATTGACATCAGTAAAAGGGTGGAGAACCCCAAACCTCCCTCTCTGGGATCTGGTCTGATCACCCACATTTTTCCGCCCCTGGTCATTCTCTCAGTACACACTCTCTGCCTCTCATTGAATACAACACAGCTCTTAGAATAGTCCCTCTGCTTCTTTCTATCGCAACTCCAGAAATGATGGACTCCCTGCATACCTACTAGGACTCCCTCTTACTTGGCATCTATGGGCCAACCAGAGCAATGTCCTCTGCTAGAAATAGTCACCCCAGAATTGTATCCCCCAAGACTCTGCCTCCTGTATCTGAAGTTGGTTAAACAGTACCATCCCCTGAGCATTGGTGCAAAAGAGCAATGGAAGATAGACATAGTTTTAAATCTTGACTCCAGCCCACACTGGCTATGTGACCTTGGGCAGGCAACCTGGCCTCTCTCTGAATGTCCTCATTTGTAGGACAGGGACATTCCTATCCATCTTGCAGTGGTGGTGTAAGGATTAGAGTTCACATCTCTAAAGATCTCTAAAGTCAACAGGCCATTAATAAATAACTGGGAATGCCATAAATCTTTATATTTCAAATCACTGTCCACTTTGTCTCTTGATTCTATTTTAACAACCTGAGAATTTTAAAAATCCTGAAAATCTAAATGGATTTCTGGACTGAAATTATTTATTTTTTATTTTATTTATTTTTTTTTTGTGAGGAGATCAGCCCTGTGCTAACATTCGCCAATCCTCCTCTTTTTTTGCTGAGGAAGACGGCCCTGGGCTAATATCTGTGCCCATCTTCCTCCACTTTATATGGGACGCCGCCACAGCATGGCTTGCCAAGCAGTGCGTCGGTGCGCGCCCGGGATCCGAACCAGTGAACCCCGGGCCGCCGCAGCGGAGCGCACGCACTTAACCGCTTGCGCCACCGGGCCGGCCCCTGAAATTATTTTTAATGCAGCTAAAGATGCTGGCTACAAGAGTTTAGCTGCTAAAGAATTGGTATAGCCTGGTATGGAGAGATATCACTGGAAACCCTCCGCCAAAGTAGATTCAAATTGCTCTCAAAGTCATGAATTCCATTCATTTTGCTAACCTTTTTTTGATCTACTGTATTGTTTGGCCCTGTGCTAGCCACTCAGGACACTGGGGAAGTAACATCTGGCTCTTGTCCTCAGAGGCAATGGGCAAGATGGAAAAGTAAGAAAATCATTACAGTGTCTGGGCAGAGTAGGGGTGGAAATTTTATCCATTCCAACCCAGAAAACTCCTACAATGATGACTGTGTCATTACCACCAGCCCTGAATTCACTCAGAATTGTGACAAGGAATCAGGTTGCAATGCCTTTAGGCTTACAGGGGGTCAAGTGGGCAAAGTTCTGCCTTAGAAACTTGTAGACTTAGTTTTTTCATCCCCAGATTTAAGACTGGATCTGAGACAAAGAATTGCTCTCCAGATCTCAGTTCCCAGCTGCTTAGGAAGGAAATGTAAACAGATCTCCTTTCTGACAGGTTTAATGGGAAAATGGTTAATGATAAAGTGCTATGAGCTCCATAAGAAAAAAGGCCAAGCCTATCAAATTCATTGCCACTTTGCCACATCACCAAGTTCAGTCTTAGCAATGTATGCCTTGGAGACAAAAATATCAGGGATACAAATAAAATCGCAAGATTACTCATTTGGAACTGGATTGGATTGTACTGAATGTACTGGATTCCATTTATGTGTCACCACAGATCTACAAGCTTGTCTTCATATCTGGTCTGGGCGGTCCTAGGAAGGGCTCTGCATTCCCATACTCATGAGGCCAGGCTGCTTTTGGCACTGCGGCTGCTCCAGGTTCTTCACGTTGCTCAAGGCATGACCTGACAGTGCCTCACTGCGTCGCTGAGCCAAATGCCTGCCTCCTGCTGCCCAGGGCTTCCCTGTTCCTTTGCAGGACCTACTTTGTTCTCAAGCATATGCAACCCAGAAGTGCAGGGGAGTTAATGCCTCATGGGGGCAAATGTGGAAAGCCCCCGTGGACCATTCGTGGCGGGGAGCTGGAGATAAACTCTTCCATTTTTCCCCTGGGTGAACCAGTGGGGATCCAGTAGCGTCATGCATCCTCTCCTGCAAAACGTAGCCACCAGCTCCTTATATTTGTGCTCTCTTATATTTACTCTGCCTCCTTTCTTGCCTCATTTCCCTCAATCCTCTCTCCTGCTTCTCTGGGATTGCACTTGCCAATAAAGTATTAATCTAAGCACTTTTGCCTCAGGCTCTGTATTTTCAGGAAACATGGGTAAAGACAAAGAATATTATAATTGAACTTGACCTTAGAGATATTCTCTTTGAAGGCTTTCATTTTATAGAAGAGAAAACTGAAACCAATGGGGCAGAAGTAAAGTGAATTACTCAAACTCCCTGCTGCAGGCTCTAGGTTCAGTATTCTTTAAGTAACATCATACACCCACACATATATGTGTATATATGTATATACACACAAATACACATGTGTGTATGAACATGTATATGTGTGTATATATGTGTGTGATTGTATATACATACATATATATAAAATCTTATTTATTTCCTTTTCTGCCTTCCTTAGAGATAGCAGACAAGATCTACAATCTTTTCAACGGCTATACCAGCGGGAAGGAGCAACAGACGGCCTACAACACCCTTCTGGATCTGGGTTCCCCCACCCTACATCGCGTCCTCTACCACTATAATCAGCACTATGAGAGTTTTGGAGAATTCACCTGGCGGTGTGAGGATGAATTAGGCCCCAGGTAATCAATAAATTTCATTGCCTCTTTTAAAGACCTCAGCTCTCTGAAATTTTGTACCTCCTCCATTATAATACTGCAGCCATGAATTTGCAGAGATTTCCTGGATGAGCTTAGGTGGTTGGAGAAGTAAGTCCTGTGCTTTTAGACAGCTCAGTTCATACAGAATAGTTTTGGATAAGCTGTGTTTAGGCAATCAAGTCATGAATGCATTTCCTGAACTCTGAAAAAACCATTGCCCTTGACCTGTTTTACCCGCTCTTTATCACGCCGACACAGCATTCCAACTGCTAAACCTGCAGGAGCCGAAAGCTTAGTCTTGTGAAAGAAAATCAGGAATTTTATTGAAGAGGTTATCCAAAAATATTTATCGCATGTGATCTTTGCATATATTTAGGCATTATACAGACGAATCTTGAGCTAAATACCACATTCTCTTGAAAGACAACATGGGGTTAGCCAATGACCCACCTTGACATCTATCCTTACCAAAGTTAGGATAGTATAGTGTTTACCAACTTCTCCTGGCCCTGAGGCTACAACTTCCCGATACTCAATACCCAGTGCTTTTCGATTGCACAACACCAATAGAAGTCTTTGAAAGAGAGGAATGGGAAGAATGTGTAGAGATATCATCTTTCTTTTGTTCTGTTCATCATGGCTGTTTTTTCTGAGAAAACAGATTTCCCTGGAAATACTGGAATTTTCAGATAGACATGATGAAGAGGCTTTTCACATGGAATCTTGGTCCCTATATGTCCCAAAATTCTTTAGGAGCTCATGAAGAAATAAAAAATAGGGCAAGGATGGTGAGAACAGAAAAAGAAGGGAAGGGAAGGGAAGGGAAAGGAAGGGAAGGGAGGGGAGGGGAGAAAGGAAGGAAGGAAGGAAGAAAGAAAGAAAATGAAGAAAATCAACACTGGAGAATCCTCGAGCACTTAAAGAATTCTTGCACTCCAGCCAACAGGGCTGAACGAAAGTATCACCCAAAAGTCACCCCATCCGTCTGACCTCTGAGCAAACTGGAGGGAGACCCAGCCTCAGGGTGCCTCTTGTGATCTGAAATCCTAAACTTTCTTAGAAGACCATTGTTCAGGACATTTCTCCCTATTTTCTTACTTTTGAAGGAAGGAGGAGGTTTAGGATTATCTTCCTGAAATAAAATGATTTCATGTGTAAGGTCAGGAAGAATCTTTCTGCATTCCGTAAATTATTTCATGTTTATAAAGGTTGGTAGCCCTTGAGCAAACAGATGCCACTGCTGTGGACCATGACACAGAGGGAAATATATAAGGGACTTTTAATTTGTTTTATCTCAGTTTTGGTAAAAAGCAAACCCTGAGTTAGAAAGTAGACACATATTGAGAACTATCCTCCTGCTCCATACCTCATCGTTACTCCGGCCCTTATTATTACTCTCACCTAATGTCATCCCCTCTCTCCAACTCTTCACTCCCTTCACCTCTCCCTCCACTCCCTCCTTTCTCTGCTCCCACTCCCCTCTTCTCCTTCCTTCTGATGTTTATTGAGTGTATATCTACAGCTCTTTGTTAGGGAACATGAATGTCACAATTTGAATAGCACTAACATTGCATATATCGTCTTGATTTCCAAGGGCATTTGGATTGTTTTTAAAATTTCTCTCTTGTAACTCAAGAGTCAGGAGGAAAATTAGTTAATGAAGAAAGTGAGCAAGGGAAGAACTGTGGGTCTCACTGCAAAGTAAGGCCTGCTGCTGAGTATACACTCTTTTTCCCAAACTCTCCTCCCAGAAGACTCTTTCATGTGTAATACTGGTTTTTCAAGGCTACATATTAGAAAAAAAAAAAATGTGTAGTTTCATTAGCTTATAGAAAATAAAGATTTACTTTTTAGTGTAGTGGATCTCAGAGAGAACCACAGGAAAGGAAAAGTCCTCTGCCTTGAGATACATCAACACATTTTGGAGTTAGTTGTGAGAATGAATGGAAAAGGGTGTGTGGGGTACATACTTCCTGTGAGCAAGAAGTAAGGGTCCCCTCAGTTCAGTTAAATCCAATTCTGTTAAAATTCTTGGAGGCCTCCAGATTGAGTTGAGGGTTGAAATACTTTGAGAAGCCCACAGGCTCTGAGATGGTCAAGGGCAGACCCAAATTCATTATTATTTTTTTAAAAAAGTGAGCAGTAAAAGTAGCCACAAAGACCCATGGGCTAATTAAATCCATTTGTTTGAAAGGATGGCTGGGATGTGTTCCTGTATCCATTTCTTGAAGATGAGGCAGATGCTGCCCCTCATTCTTCCTTCACGCCTCCTTCCTCTACCTCCCAAGAATTTGTCAGCAACTAATGACATGCAGAGGATAGATTAAGAGGAAGGACCACCAGGGTCCCTGTTGATGACGACTTTTGAAAAGCCCGCGTGGCCAAACTGCAAGGCTGATAGAGGAGATGCCGTCTGCCTAAGATGCTAGTTAGTCGGCAGAGTGTTTGTTTGATTTCCTGTGACCCACCATTGAAGTTGGAGAAAATATGATTTCCCCTCCGAAGACCTCACACTCGCTTAGCCCCTTGACTTTGCTGCTAAAGCGCAACACTTTTCCTCCCCCGTCATCTCCACCCCTCTCTCAGCACGCCCTCTGGAATGCGGTGAGCTGCCAGGACAGAAAAAGAGGAATGAAATGAATGTGGTTATTGTTCTTTGAAAGCTCATACTAAACGGGGTGCAGAAACTTCCAGTTCCTGAAAGAATTGTTGATTAAATTAGAAAAAGAGATGGTTACTCACATGAGAAGGTAGCCTAGAAGTTGATAAATAACTGCAAGGGGTACTGTTCATTGAGCTTTCCAGGACAGCATTTTACAGCCTCACATGAGCTTGTTCAAATGAGTGAATCTTCTTTCATGGTTCTCTGGTCACTTGGTCTTTGAAGAAGGAGAAGAACATGGGTGAGTGAGGGAATCCTGCTCCTTCACTCATCCTAAGTGTTCAGAGTCAAAACCAGTGAGGTCTGAGAAGTGGCTATCAGGTAGTGCCTGTCTCTGACACCAGAAATGGATGACAGGAAGAAGCCCATACACCAGTGTGGTAGAGCGTGGTGATAGCCCATTTCCCCAAGCTGTACACAGAGGCTCTGGCTCTCTATTCTTGGCCTAGAGGGATCACTCCTTTCCAGTGTGTGCGAACTTGGGGACACCTCACCCTCCTCTGCTCTTTTCTCTCTCAGGGATCTGCAACAGCTCAGGCACCCTCTCTTCATCTCCTTTCCCCACTCTTTTAATTGGAGCTCAATGGCAGTGGCCTCCTTACTTCCTGAGGAAGATGGTGGAATGGGGCAGGAGCTCACTGGGAGGTTGTGGGTGATGTATGCCACAGAGAGTCTGCATTTTCCAAAGAATGACCCTGTGTCAATGTGCAGCGAGGGCATTATTGTCCTCGCCCTTAGACTATAATTACCTCCACACAGGCATAATTAGTTACATTTGATATCCCCTGAAGTTCAATATATCGGTTGCTTCTACTCAGTTCAGAAATAGCCTTGAAAAGGAAAGTGTTCAGTCAAACACCTTATTTGTCATTTAATGATGATAAATTACTGGCTTGAAAGAAAATTGATTTGATTTGTCTTTCAAAACTGCCAACTCTATGATTTTAAAGGCCATTAATTTCCACTAAAATATTAGTTATCTTCTCTTCTTTTTTTTTCCTTATTTCATTTTGTTTCTCTGTTTCATTTTGGTGCCTGCCCCACTTTGCACATCCATCCTATTGATTATTTCATTCATTCATTCATTCATTCATTCACTCACTTGACAAATATTTATGACGAGCCCCGTTCTAAGAGCCAAAAACAGAACAGTAAGCAAAACCAACCAGGCTGTGCCGTCTTGAAGTTTCAAGTCTCACACTCTGTGCCTTTCCCGCCTTCTCTTCTTTCCAACCTAAGTGTCCTCCGTGCTTGATCCACAGGAAAGCTGGCCTCATCCTTTCCCAGCTCGGGGATCTCAGCAGTTGGTGCAACGGACTCCTTCAGGAACCCAAGATAAGCTTGCGCCGCAGCTCCCTCAAGTACCTGGGCTGCCGCTACAGCGAGATCAAGCCCTACGGACTTGACTGGTCAGAGCTCAGCCGGGACCTCAGGAAGACCTGTGAGGAGCAGACCCTGAGTGTCCCCTACAACGACTATGGGGACAGCAAAGACATCTAGTGCCGTGATGCCAGAGAGCAGCTGCCAAAAGGAAGCAGGAGAGAGAAGGGGACATTGGGGTTGGTTTGTGGCTTTTTAATATTTTTTAATGGAACATTGAAACCTCCACAGGTGACATCTAAACCAGGGAGAGAGTGATCCTCGCTCCCTGCAGAACTTCTTCAGTCTGATGTTCTCCATCTGCACGATCAGTCAGCCTGCCCGCCAGCGGCTTCACGCGGTGCCATTTCTCTTCAGGGGATTACTTTGGGGCTTGTTTTGTGTGAATTTGTTTTGTTCATTTTTTTTCCAAGAGGTTCTTCAAAATGCTCAAGAGTTCTGTCATGCTTCCCATGAAGGTCCCTCAGGTTGAGGCACCTCCTGCTCCCTGAGTTCCTGAGTCCCTGGCAATTGGGGACAGAGATGAGGCCAGAAGGTTGTTAGACCAGTCTCAGGCCCCAGCCTCAGGCATTCCTCAGGAAGCATCTGGGAACCTAAGCCCTGCTCACAGAGAAAGACAGTAAGAACATTGGGAAGGCCGCCCCGCGTAGGTCTCGTGGTTTTCCCTCCAGGCCTTCCTGTTGCTGTGTTCACACCGCACAGGTGAAGCCAGCCTCCGGTGTGGGCTCCAGTGGGCCCTGGATTTTTAGGTCCTTCCTCATTTTAAGACAGGACTGGAATTAAGTCTCCTTGTGCTTCTGCCCTCTCCTCCAAACAATATGATCTTTAAGAGGCAACAAAATGCTACCTGTCAAATGCACCTTCAGAGTAGTCTTCCTGAGAGACTAGTTAGCAGTGCACATTCTAGAAAAGAAGTGTAGTTCATTGTTTTAAAAATCACCTGTGCCTCCAGGATGAACTTCTCCAGACTGCCAGTATACATCACACGTCAGGATTCTCTTCAGTGTCGCCCCGCTTACCCTGGGCAGATAAGCCTTGGTTGATATCTGCTGTGGTCCAGGAGGGGTTAACACCTCCATGTCAGTGTTTTGGTGAACTAAGGCTATTACTGATCGCAGAAAACTTCTGTCCACTCCCTTCTTGCTGAACTTGCTTAATTATGTTGCTAGTTTTGCAGATCATTGCTCTGGATGACCATCAGCAGGATTCCACCATTTTCCCCTCCCATCTAGTGGCGGGAGGAGCAGTGATTCTGTGTAGACAAGCTCCACTGACTGCAGGTAAGGGCCGGCCCCTATCTCTGCCCCGCTGGCCGAGCGTTGGCGTGGGCATAGTGGTGGCCCAGCTGACAGGAAGCCCAGCCTTGCAGCAAGAGCTTTGCAGGGCCTTGTGGACCAGCGATGGCCTTAGCTGTCCCCACACACCTCAGAGGCCTGAACACACTCTTTCAGCCACCCGGCCTTTGACCAGGGCTCCTCGTGTGGAAACACAGGAGAAAGGTCAGGAAGGAGATGCAGGATCCACAAGGCCGGTCAGTGAGCCATACTGATTTTTTTCTAAACAGTAATAACGACAGATCGCATTCATTGAGTGCTTACTGTGTGCCAGACGCTGCTTTAAGCACTTTACATACCACTGAATTCTCACAACAACTCCCGCAAGGGAAGTGCTGTTCTTGGCTCCATTTCAGTGATGAGGACACTGAGGCAGAGAGAGGTTACGCGACTTGCCCCAAATGCCCTGCTTACTGTCTGCCAGAGCTACAATATGGATTCAAGCGGTCAGACTCCAGATCGTAGGACTTCAACCCCTGTGCCATCCTCAGCACTCCTCTCTGTATCGCCTGGGCAGCTGTCCGAGCTCTGAGCTCCACAGAGGGCCGCCCAGAGAGCTTTGCCCGGCCCGCCCTCCGTGGTGTAGATTTGCCCACAGCGTGGCCGTGGCCAGAGGGGGAGCAAAGTGCACCCTGCGCTCTGCAGCTGGAACGAGCGCCCTTTGGGACACCGTGTCTATAGTACAAGCCTTCCCCGCCGGCCCCTGGAGCGAAGCCTGTGGGAAGGCTGCGAGCACAGGTTGCTCTCACTCCCCTCCCCCTGTCTTTCCGTGGAAAGATGGAAAGGTTTATTTCACACTCTGGAATGTACCTGCCTCAGAGACTCCCCCACTTCCAGAGCGAAGGTGGCAGAAAAGTCAGCCCTGCCACCTGTGGTCAATGTAGGGCCTCGGGTAAAATGCCTCAAGGGACAAGTTTCTCACCTCGACCGGAGAGGAAGATGCCGTGGGCAGCTGGACACCCACCAGTGGGGCGAGCCGCCTTTGCCTCTGCTCCTGTTCTGCTGTCCTTTTATTCAAGTCTGCACAGAAAACGGGGTCTACGTGAGTGGGAGGTGGCCGAGGCTGCCACTACCTTCCTGCCTCCGAAGTGGGCGAGATGCGAGCCATGGGCCAGGGTGAGAGGACAGGGATCGCCCTTTTTTGTCCCCTCCTTCTGTTTTATTTAAATGAAAGAGGCTCACTCTCCCTCCTCTCCTTCTGTCTTTTCCCAGCTCTCCCAAGTCACTCTGCCTCCTTTTCATCTCTTTATCTTCGTCGTCTTCTCCTGTCTATGACCCTTCCTCCTGGGTCCCTTCCTTCTCCATGCTTCTCCTCCTCCTTCAGTGTCCCCTTGTACCTTCCTCACTGCACACATGTATGCGTGTACACCCACACATGCTACATACACACTATATGCACACCCACACACTCCCACACACTGTACATGTACAGCGCACACACTACATGCACACACTCTACACACACCCCCGCACCCTCACACACCATACACACACTCTATACACACACTACACACACACTACACACTACACACACTATACACACAACCCCTACTGCTGCATCCCGTCTACTTCCAAGTTGAAAGTAAGGCCAATGTGAATGGGGCAGGAGAGAATCTTAGGACCCCCCCTGAGGATGTGACAGGAGGATTTTGCCCTAGGAAGACACTAGTGATCACCCGCTGATGACATTTCCCAAAGCTTGCCTGGAGGAACCCATGCTGACTAGAAAGGGTGATAGCACTGGGCCAGTATTCAACCTCAAGTTTCCAAGCTGCCAAACAGGTCTTAAGGGACTCCCTTATATCCACCCACCCTCTCCCAGCTCCGGGGCTCCCACGAGACCACTGGGGTCTCCTCTTGGATGGACAGGACCCACTGTGACAGCATTAGACCTCTGGGTGCGCAATCGTTTTCCATGGAGTCCGGTCTGGCCATTGTTTTTAGTTAACCACACTTCTTGATATTCAAATGTTCTGTTAAAAAACTGAGTGTGAAAAAACCCGGTTTACTTCCATAGAAGGAAGAAAGAATATAATGTGACCAACTTCAGGTATAACAGTATTGTTTAAAGGAATTATTGTACAATTATAAAAAATGGAATAATCAACTAAATAATAAACAAAGCTGTTAGTAAGTGTTGAGTGTGTGGATGTTACCTTGTATCTTTCAATAATCAGAGTGATCTGGTTGGACCCACTGGGGAATTGCCAAAGTTTTAAATGTTACACCTTAGATTCCAAAAACATAAGCCTTCTAGCCCATCATCCTAACTAGAAAAAAAGTCAAATACTTCACAGAAAATTCTAAACTTATTGTTTTGTAGTTGTGATTCTCATCCTCTGTTGCCATCCAAATAATTAGCCAGTGAAATGTATTTATTGCATATCTGCTGTATTCCAGCCGCTGCATGCAGTGCAGAGATATGCTGGTGAATAAGACAATCTTGCTCTCCACCAGAGTGCATGGTATTTTATGCGGAAAGTTAGACAGTGAACCCATCATTACAAGGGTGGAGAGAACTATGACACAGAAGTACAGGATGCTTTGGGAGTTGCTGAAATTGATACTTCGGGCATCTAAGACAAATGTTGCAAAAGGCCTTCCCTGACGCATTGCTGTCTTGCATTCTGTAGACATCTGGGATGGGCTGGCTATTATGAAATGCTTCATGATGGGTAGCCCAAACACTCAATCTTTTTTTTTTCTCTCTAAAGTGTAACTTTAAGAGATGTTATCTCTACTGCCACCCAAACATGCGGTTCCCTTTAAATTCTTCGATAACCAGATATGAAGTGCCCGCACACTTCCAGAGGCCCCGTTGAAAAGTAATGATGCGAGTTCCAGTCCTGCGCAAGCAGCAACCATTGAAGACTGGGGCAGTTTGAAAACATGGCCATCAATTCTTTGACACCTCTCCCATCTAGAAGTGTGTTCTATTGCCTGTCCCCTGAAAGGTTTATGACTGTTTTGACCAATAGATTATGATGAAAGTGACACTGCGTGACTTCCAAGTCTGAGTCATAAAAGCCCTTAGGGCTTCTGCCTTCGTCTCTGGAACTCTTGCTCTTGGAGCTCTGAGCCAGCACCGAAGAAATCTGAGGCCACCATGGTGGGGCCACCATGCTGGAGAGGTCACGTGTAAGCACTGCAGGTCACTGCCCCAGCTGAGCCCAGCCTTTTAGACATTCCTGCTGAGGCACCAGACACGGGAATGAAGCTGTCCTGGACCCTAAAGGCCAATCCCCCTGCCAAGCCCTGCCTGAATTCCTGATCCCTAAATTACGCAACATAATAAAGTGGTTATTGTTTTAAGCCACTAAGGGGATCAGTCTGCTAAATAAAGGGGATCTGATTGGGGGCCAACAGTGTCTATTCCATCCACCCAGTGATGGAGCATTCAGTCAGCCCTGTCCCAGGTGTGAATTCACCAGGAAAAGGAGAGGAAATTTTATGCAGGCTGGGCTACACATGCACAACATCCCTCTCCCCAATAAGGTGGGTCTCTGCTCCAACAGAGGAGAGCAAAAAGAGGGGTGGACACTTCTTCCCAATACTTCTAAGCGGGTGACCTCGGGAGCCAAGATGGAAACCCTGGGGTGGGGGGGCGGACAGTTGTTCCAGGGTCAGCAAAAGACAGAGAAGGGAGAAGACAATCTGAGACAAAGAAGAAATATCGGAAGGGAAGGGTTTCTTGCAGTTACTTTGTTTTTCCGTCCCTTTGTATTTGGAACTTCCTGGATGTGAATATGTACACCCATACCTAATGTATGCCAAACACTGTGCTAAACCTTTTAACTGTGTAATATTCTCCAATCTTCTTGCAATTTTGTGAAATTAACACTCTTAAGAAAGAGAAGCAGAGTCTCAGAGACTTTATGTAACTTGCCCAAGTTCACAGCTAAGTGGAAGGACAGACATTTCAACCAAGGGCTGCCATTACACCACACTGCCTCTGCCATCAATGAGTTTGTTTTTCGTTGAGTTTCCTGGAAAGGGAAAGCCTCTTCTCACTGAGACTTTTGCAACTCACTGGCCAGTTACTCTAAGTCAGGCAATAAGAGAGAACGTGGCTGGATCAGTGCAGACCTACCCCCATCATGAGGAGAACAACACAGGGTGCGTGGCTTGTTTTCGCAACCCAAATATATTGTCACTTTTTGTTTGGCTTGTTTTCGGGTTTGTTGGGCTTGGTTGTTTTGTCTGTCATATGAAGAAAATACAGAGCTAAGAAATTGTGACTCTAGCTCTGTACGTAGCCTGTGTTGGGCTTTAATGGTTCTTGTGGCCTGTTCTCTGTGTTCTGCAGGCATCCATGGTAACACCCAATACTTGAGTGAGACGTTGGGGAACAAAAGCCTCCTGCCCTTCAGGGCTGCGTAGCTTGATATGCTGATCCAGGACCCAGCCTTGGTTTTGATAACCTATTGCCTCCCAACCCTGCTTCCATCATCACCTCCTATTGTCATTTCACCGGAACCAATTAACAAGCAGTTTAGTGTGAAACGCAAGCTCCACATTACATAGAATAAGCTGATGATTTCTCTTGCTACACGTGGGGGTCCAGGACTTGGCTCATGTCTGCTCTTCCAACATGAGAAAGAAATGAACCTCTTTGTTCTGGGGCTTCACTGTGTGCGCTGTAATTGGACTGATTGCCGTAGGGATGGACAGGTTTTGACATAATGTTTCTTCACCAAAACTGCCTTTTGTTTGAGTTCATGAATATGCCTGTTCACACAGGCTACAGATTAGTGTAATTGGTTCCTTACTATCTTTCCCAGTAGGAGAACCTCGGCCATATTCTGTGCTTAATAATTGGGAACGACTTCCTTTGTTTAGAAAGATTCAAATGTCAAGTAACCCTGAGGCTATTGCTGTCCCATGAGTCAGACAATGTTCTGTGACCTACCAACTTAGAGATGAAACCGCCTCACACCATGTCCTTGTGATGTCGCAGGACCTAAGTACCCGTGGATAAGACTAGGCTGGACATGCCTTCGCTGCCCTTTTGTCCTAGTGACTGTTAAGTATAACGTGGTAACGCATACATTCTTCAAAAGCCGACTACCTCTTTGTCCTCAGAGCCATTTCTCAACCTTCTGCTGCCCTACTCTGTGTCACAGAGAGCTGACTCTTGTAAGCTACATTTCTCAGACTCCCTTGTCAACAGGCTTCCAGCCCAGTGGGACCCTGGGAGGCACTGTGGAAGACTGGAGGACAGGAAGAGGAGGAAGCCGGGGTACTTCTCCCTCTCTCTGACTTGGA